GAAATATAAATATTACAATTAACCACAAGCTCAAATGACAGGTTGTAATTCAAAGCTACAGAAATGATATTTTATTGGTTATTTTCTTTTTGATTTATTAAAAGTTAGGTTAAATGTAAGCGAAGATGGATAGTGGATAGCAGTGGAATCCAGGACGCGCGTCCCATCCTATTTGAGACTCGCCAGCTGGATGTACCTGCATCTCAGAATTGATGTTCACTCTGTGACTCCAATCCTTCGCTTCTTAGGCCATCGCGTTATCCACTCATCTACTGATTCCTGATAGCCACTTGGGAAGATTCAAACAAACAATACCAAGTGAATTTAGGTTATATGTGTTTGTTTGATTCTTTTATACTTATTCATCACTTATAATTATTGAAATAAAAATGAATGTGTTTTTCATAAAGTATTTGACCTTACAATGTAGAACAAATCTATTTGAAATCAGAAGAATATTGTTTTATTAAAAATAAAGAAAAACTTTTATTGTCAAATTTAGGTTAGGAAGAACAATAAGTTAAAAGAAAAGAAAATAGTTGATTTGTAAAAATATTCCAAAAAACGAGTAAATTCTGTTGTTAACTACTAATGACAGTCATACTATAGATACCTTGGTAATTTCGTACACATAGTTCCGTTGATTAACGTGAACAGAGCAAGAACACAGATTTGAGTAGAACAACATGAATACATTTTGTGTCATTTAGTTCTCATCAGATGCTCACAACCTGTGATACTTAAAAATCATAATTACAAAATGAATGTAAGTTACTTACTTAAAAGATTTTTATGAGAAGTTACCTTAAAGAAATAACAGTGTAGTATAACAATGATGGAAATAAACTTAATAGATTGAGTAAAATATTGTAAATATATACCTTATATAGAAGAACATTCTTCAACACTGATAGTAACAAAGGTCTAAATGGCTATGTTGAGTCGGCTTCCGGAGAACTCTAACAGAGCCTCCAGAGGCTCATCAAGAGCCCCAGCCAATCAGAATACGATGGAACATTCTAGAGTTCCAACGTGGCGTGATACTATTGGTCGGTATTATAATATGTCGTTAATGGATTGGCTAACATCTATAAATACCTATGATTTTCTGTAACAAGATTGAACCCGTAGTAAAGTGCTTCCCTCATACTTTGTGCCTTTTCTCTGGTCTTCAAGTCGCGGTGTATAGTTCTAGTTTGGAGGGGTACGGAACTAGCTTAGGGAAGCGAATATAGCGTTCACAATCGGCCAGACGTAACAGGCTAGAAACAAATGGTTACACAATGAACAAACATTGATAATAAGCAAGAATAGAATGAGTAGAGGTCAGTTAATTAAAATATGATTATTAATCTAGAAGACAGTCAAGGTAAAAAGATTTAATGATGTAATTTATTGAAAGAAAGAGCTGAATAAAATTTTACGACGTTATGAAGGGATATTTGTCATCAAGGTAAGAAAGATTAACAACCATCTCCTTTTCAACACATACATCAAGTATCTGACGCCTGATAGAAATGACTTCAGGAAAATTCAGAAGACTGGAACTTGACTGTTCATTAATCGCCTTGAAAAATTGCAAGGTATCGACCTGATGTCCTTCATTCAAACGTTGTTAAATAATCACGCTATTTGAAATGCCTCTCTCTCTCTTGTTCGAAGGCTTTTTGGAACATATTCAGAAAATCTAACATGTGTTCCCTTTTCTGTTCGTTCAAAGTAGCTGTTTTGACGGATACGCGTAAATTTATACGTACATCTGGCAGTAACACAAAAGGGGTGCTTGTCGATCTTTGATTAAGTTACTGTTCAATAAGTTAGTAATTTAAACTCATTTTGTAATTATGATCTTTAAATATCACAGGTTGTGGGCAGCCGACGAGAATTAAATGACAGAATGAATTCATGTTGTTCTGCTCAAATCTTTTTTCTTTCACTCTTTAACTTGTTGATTATTTTTCATTTTGGCAACTGAGTGAAAGTTAGTATAATGATTGTAGAAATCGTCTGTGAAGGAAATATATTTCTACTACTTTGTCGAAAAATTAATGTGGACACCACTAGTCAGTAGACTTTTTCAAAATGGAATTAATTATCATAAGAATATTTTATATCCCGATAACAATAGTGAATGGTAACTTTGGAATCCATTTGTGGATCAGTATTATGCATATAATTTTTATCGTATAATCGCAAAATAACTAAACTATTCATGTTCATGTTACTGTTATTATAAGCTTTATTTTGACCTATAGACTATTATTGTAAGATTTACCATTCTTGAGTTATACCCAGTCTATTAATTGCTGCCTCCCACATTCACAGCCACATTTGGCTAAATCTTGTACAAATGTTATTTTCTATTTTATTGGTACGATGTGGTCAGTCTGTTTGGTATAAAAACTCAGTATTTTTGAAATACAATGATTCATACCACAGAGACTGTTATTGGTGTTCTGGACTTAACTGGCTGGACTAGGCAGAAAGCAGGACCGATACGTACTCTAGACTACTCGTACGGTTTTCGTGTGTCACTGTTCCAATCGATAGGTTGCTGATCTGTGAGTGGCGGTCTTATCACGTCATACGTTAACTAGGCATCCACTCGGCCACAAGATATAACAGAATTTATGATTTAGATAAATGTAGTTAGAATGAACAGATCGGATACAATCATGGACAACTTTAAATTACTTTGATAAAATTATAACTCTGAAACACGTTGTCTTGTTGACTTATTTGCATAGTTGAAAAATAGATGGCCTCTGGATGAATTATATCCGTGTAAAATGAATTTGTGAATTTTTTTGTAAATTCAGCAAGTAGATTTAATTTATTGTATCACAATACTTGATAACATCAATCTAATGTTTTACAAAAATACTCATTTAGAGATTAAATGATTTTCAGATTAGGAAATATTCACTACAGTAGACTAGATAACTTGATTTAACAACCTCACGTAAACAGTTAAACTGAGATAAGGTTATTCACTGATAAAATGATAGATAGTAAATTAAATAAATAAACATATGTTCAGAACTCTGATTTTTTCAGGTCTTTCATTCACTTTTAATTCATGACAATGGCTATTATCAGATTTGTCAAATCTTCATAGATTATCTCAGTGAATATTATTTCATTTCTTTAGGGCAGACACGGTACACTGCCCCACCGAATGACGCCCGACACGGGACTCGGACCCACCACCCTGAGATTAAGAGTCTCATGCTCTGCCGACTGAGCTAGCCGCCTCCAGGGTGTTTGGTACCTGAGTGGTTGCGCCACAGGACTTGGCTGCACTGTTCGGATTGTAGCGTTGGAGCCTATATAGTGTCTGGTTCTCCTATAGGGCGGGATTGAGCTGTACTGTTTGGGTTGCCGCATGAAAGTCTGGATGATATCTGGTTCTCCTGAAAACCAGTGCAAGATTACCCTGGCCCATAAGGGTATATTATATAACTGAACTTATAGGGCAGTATTAAAACGTTCTTGTGGAATGTTATGATTTACAAAGTTAATGAAATAAATAACAATAATAAATGCTCAACGGCTACATTGAATGATTTTTGTGTTATACCGTGAATTGACTGAAGTGATAAATGACTGAATATTACCATGTTACTCAGATGAATTACCTACTCTGAGTTTAATTGGGAGAAAAAAATTGTACACTTTGAAAAAATTCAAACAAGTACGATAAGTTGTCCAGTTCTTCTCGATTTCTATTAATTATGGAAATGAAATCAAAACCTAATGAAACTTATTTACAAACGAGATTGTATGTTTAAATTTCGTTCACTATTATAGACTTCAATATAGTGTTTTGTATCTAACCCCTCTTCTAGCTTTAAGCTCACTTTTAAGCATGCTGGTGGGCGGCATATGCTCCTCCACGAGAGGTAACAGGCGTAAGAATGTAAGTCACTTTCAACTGAATATACATGTAGATGTACATAAGAACATGACCGTGAATGCGATAGGATAAGATGAACACGTGTGATTTATGGTGAGAGTCATTCAAAGAGATAAACCAATTAGTATGGTAATAAACAAAAATGTAGGATCCTAGTAAACTTATATAAACATGTTCGAATGTATCCCACCTTCCAATAATATGATTTTAATGTTTACCATGGGTTTTTAGTTTATGGTGATAATATTATGGTGTATAGCTTATGTGTTTACTTAGAATAGAAAAAATGATGTTTTTACTATTAAAATATAACAAGAATTGTTGTTACATTATTGCCTGACTTTAATCAATTTCTAGCTAGCTAGTATTATAAACTTTTATCGATAAACATTTTCTTAGGGGTAAATATAATTTTGAAAAATTTATTAGCAATAAACTGATTAACAAATATATTTAATAATTAAATACATGAATCGATCTATGTTAGACCACTATTGAAAACCTGGAAGCACTAGATGACCGTTTTGTTCTAGTATGGAACTCTTCAGCAGTATGCATCCAGGATCACGCACCATAAGGGATTCGAACCTATGACCATCGGTTTCAATTCATGGTCTCAATCAAAAAAAAACTAAACAATCTCCACAACCCCTTACTGATAATTCTAAAAGTGTTCAACACTTCAATTAAGAATGAAAAAATTTGTCTTATCAGGCATTAAGATACTAAATATTACTTTTAAATGATTAATTTTTGTATAAATTTCGGATAGCCCTTTATTTTTCATTGAATATATCACTGATACTTATAATTTGTGTTAATATATATATGAAAACTGTCTTGCACACTGCTGAGGAGTCCCACCATAGGACCAAATGGTCATCCAGTGCTTTCAGGTATTCCCTGGTGGTCTAGCTTCAACTGACTCACGCTTTCAACTATGAAAATACTAAACCACCACAAAAAAACCCCTTCTGATAATGAAACTCTGTTTAATACATTCAACTTTTCAAAGACAATATTACATAATAAAATAGGTCCCTTCAAACTTTTTTTTAATTTTTCATCCACAAAAATTACTTACTTATTTTTTTTACTGAAATAAATCCAATTTAATCCAGCTTAATAGATTTCAACAAACTTTTTGTAAGAGAATATCTAAATAAGCGAATAGATTATAAAACTTTATAAACTATTCACAAAATAAATAAATTAAATTCACAGTTAACCAATCAAAATAAAATTTTCAAAAATTTATTTATCAATTTTTGATTGGATAATTATACACTAACTGATTAAATTGTTTTTCACAAGGGGGTTTTGTGGAGATTTTAGTAATTTTATATAGTTAAGATCATGGTCGGTTAGAGGTTAGACATTAACACCGCTGGATGCCAGCTCTATGGTCTATAAGTTAAGTGCTCTGGCGCGAGATTGGTAGGTCGTGGGTTCGAATCTCGCGAGGCGAGATCGTGGATGCGCACTGCTGAGGAATCCCACAGTAGGACGAAACGGCTGTCCAGTGCTTTCAGGTTTTCCACGGTGGTCTAGCTTCAATTGACTCGTGATCTTAACTATATAAATTGTGTTTTTTTCAATTCTTTTATTTTTGGATGAAATGCACAGAATTCCCATGTTATTTCTTGATTTCAATGAAATAAAAAATTTTAATCAATAAAACATTTTATTAAATTTTAATTTACACTAATCAACCACTGTAGAGTAAACAATATTTTATTGCCGAGCTCTCGAAGCTGAACAATGTCTCCTTGACCATATCTGAAAAGTGGTTGACATTACTGATTTGATGACAAGTATTTACCTGTGAAATCCTTGTTTTATGTCCATGCTTGACATCATTGTCATTTGCTATTAATATTAGAAATTAGTCTTAGTAGCATAGCTGTGGAGAACGATAGTACAGATTTACCTAGACTATAGAGAATCTGCTGTTTTTAACAAACTATAATAAATTTAGACTCATATGATTAGATGTGAAGTTAAACTACTGTTACTACAATAGATGGAAACTTCCCTTTATGTCTGTGGAGAACTTTTTCCCCTAAATTTTAGAAGATTTTGTAAAGAAAATATAGACGTAGTGGAAGTTACGGTGTTATTTTTAGTAAGAAATTCATGTTATTTAACCTTAATTTATTTCCTTCATCCCTAAAGTCATTTATTTTCTTTCATTCTCTATCATTCTAGTTAGTTCCCCAACAGCTCTCATATTTAAGAAAATGTTGCACGACACAGTTTTGGCTTGTGATAGTTACAGACATACCTGTCATGTATTGAATCTTCTCAACATAGCGCAGCCTAAAATAAGGTTTACAATGAAACACGAACATCATGATAAATTTTACTTTCTTGATACTACTAGTCATTCAGATAAATTTTAGTGGTCATTTAGAAAGATCTATTTATCCAAAAAGCTCTTGCAGTGAGCTTTATTTAAATTTCAAAAGTTTTTTTCTAAAATAAGCCACGAAAAGGTTTTGGTTAGAGTACTATTCAACCATATATTGAAACTATGTTCATAATAGGATATTGAAGACGAATTTAGTCAGAAAATACCTGCGATCACTGTTACCTAGAAAGGTTCGTCAATAAATATGAAAAAAAGCAAGAACGAAGAGAATGGGATGTTCTGTAGTTACGGAAAAGCCAGTCTTATTATAACTTAGCTTCAAAGGTGACGAAATAGCTAACATGATTGGTTCAAGAGTATTGAGTTAAAAGGATGTATCCTGCATCTAAACTGGTCTCTTAGTATTAAATTATTTACACATTCAGATAAATAAAAGTAAACACATTCGTACCTCACGTTACGTCAAATTTTATTTCGCGACAAAGCATACATATTGGATGAACAGAAATAGTCCTTATTCTTATCTCAAGGATATTCCATTTTAAAATGTCAACATATTTTCGAGTTCAGTTGCTCATTTGATTGATAGTGAACTCAGTGTTGACATTTCAAAATCGTTCAAAATAATCAGCACTCAAGCGATTTTGGATTAATTTTTTTCTTTACTTTGATGGAGTGTGACTTTCATTATTTGATTTAGCGACTTCTTTTTTTCATGTACCTTTCCATAGGTTCCTTTTCTTTATTATTCTCGAACCTTACTTATTTTACTTTGTTAATCTATCAAATTTAGCCCTTGTCATTACATAACTTTGACATTAATTACAATTTTCTACAAAAATATCTCCAAATGTCTAGAATATATTTCGAGAATTTTCACACTTGATAGCACAAATACACATTCATTTTGATATTTTATAAGTCTTCCACGCTTATTGTTATTCCCCTAATCTTCATTAATATGATACAATGTAAATTGATTGCGAATAATCATTTATAAGTTGTAAGCAATTAACCTATACTTACATTTAATTTAGCCGTCCAGTTAACTTATTTAGCAGACGTTATTCAAGCGGTAATGATTTGTCAATATTTTTGTATTATTATCATATCTGTATAAAGATGCATGCTTGATCACGCGTTAGAGCCTACATATATAACCACCCCATATCTTACGCATTATTTGCTTAAATCGCATGACGAACCACTCGTTCTCCTCTATATGCTTGGATCTTCTTAGTCAATTCTGATTATTCAACTGTTAATTCGCTCACTCACATTCACATTTTTACTCGAATTCACTGTGCTTGTGGCTTAGTGATGTGGTGCTTCGTATTGTCTTCTGAAATCTATACACCGCTTGGATTTATCTAATAACAGTTATTAGGACGAGTGATATACGAAGCCTAAGGAATTCCTTTGAAGATAATCCACTTTAAGATCACGAGACGAACTCATTTTATTCTGCTACTATTATTGTTGTTGCATTGCTTCCTTACGCCTGTTACCCCTCGTGGAGGAGCATAGAACGATTCTTGCATTATTCAAGCTTAATAATCCATAAATTTCAGGCACCAATCTGGTTTCTATTAGCTAGTGAACTAATGGGTCTTCCAATGGTAGACATTATATTAGTTTATAATACATGATTTTATGGCAACTCATAGGGAACAGTCACACATGGTAAATAATTAGAATTTCGAGTTCTCTCTAAAGCATAAATGAAATTCCACAGCAACAAATAATATATATACTTCATAAGGGAGTTAGCTGAAATTTCAGAATGGGAGATACACAATTCAAAGTATACCAAGCAACTTCCATAAAAAGTATATTGAAATTTCTCTCTTCGTGAGATTCTTGTATTATAACTGTATTACTTATGAGTAGCTAGATTGTTACTTTACAATTTTCCTTCCGTGCACTTAACTGGTAATCGTAAACTATTCTCTTATATCATTGTTGAAAGCGTGAGTCAATTGAAGCTAGACCACCATGGAAACACTGGACGGCTTATATGTAGATATATTGTCATTTCAGCTATATTGAACTGGTCATTTTGTGTTTGTCTTTGTCAAAAGTAAGCTACCGTTCCTGGATTCATCACCTCGAATATGGATTTCTTAATCTAAACTAATGATCACTTATTTCAGATCCATTTGCTGTTTATTCATAATCGTAAATAAACACTCCGCGACGGCTGAGCAGTTCCCTATTTTAATCGAACTGAGGTCGATTATTCGAGTGAATTTCGTAACTTTCCTATAACAAATAAATGCAATGCAGTATCTTTATGGGCCACTAGCACGCACGCAAACGATCTAGACAGTTAAGTGAAATATAGTCTATCAGCTCTATACTCTGTTAAGAAGGTTGAAATCGAAATTACATTTTTAAGAGTTTAAGCTGCCTCAGACTAGTAAAAACAAGTGATATGCTTGTTTATATTTGGAAAATCATACTAGCCTGAAATCTTAGTAATTATTGACTGTACATAACAAAATACTAGTTATGAAAATTCTTTTTAATGACTAATTAAATATCCTAGTGGCTAGAACACTTGGTAACGACAGTACATATTTTCCGATTAGGTATAAAGATAGTCCTACAATACGATGTACTATCAGCTGACTGAAAATACCGTCTATGGATTTCACTTAAATAACGATTGGTTTCTTAAGAATCTTTGTTGTTTGAGCCATAATTCTTCCCTAGCACACACACTTGGTGCTTTTGTCAGTATTTACAAAATAACCTAAAGATTGTATGTCTATCCTTCAAGTGTACATTGGCAGCAAACTATCTAACAAGATGAGTTAGACTTTTCACTAGTTATACATTTGTGGTGCATGATACTTATATAGAGAAACAAACAGTATGTAACACCGACCAGAAGTGGAATGACTGATAAAAGAAAGTTGAGAAGATTGGACTGAAGAAAACAGAGAGGAGTCGATAATTGGAAGAATCATGAAGGATGTGTAGGACAATTAATGGAAGATTTGAAAATGAAGTATTTAATTTATAGTTTTCGCATTTTAAGAAAGAACTCTGTAATTTTTCATCAAACAATAAATTGATTGTCCGCAACTGAGTTCTCATTCACTGTATATTGAGATGGATCCACCCAGCTAACTCATTGAATTTTTTCCAATGAAGAAATATTGATGAATCAATTTTTCGAATTTTGTTTATTTATCGTATGATAAATTATTAAAAAATTTTCTAAAACTTATTTTGATCACTTGTTAAATTACACAAAAATCTATAAATACAGTTAACTGATAAATGAGAACCAGGTGATGAGTATTTGTTTCCCTTATCGGTTGTTAGACGTAGAAAATGATCGACAGTAATTATGAGGAATTAAGTTAATTGAGAGGTTTTTACGATCACCTCCTAATAGACCCTTATCTTGCAGTTTTAGGTCATGGATTACACTTGTTAATCAACCATCTTAATATGAAGCATTATCATTAAAACTTGAAGAATGGATACAATAAATTAAAAAGGATAAGAATTTGTATAGTTGAAACATGAAAAGGAAGGGAAACAAAAAATGCAAAAGAAAAAGAACCAGGGCTCTTCATTTTTCATCATCTTTTAGCAACGATTGGAAGTCCTAAATTAGGGGTCAAGTAAACCCATGATACAGGAAGTATATCTGAGTTTTCTTTGACCTGTGAGCTCCAATAAATTGGTGAAAATACACTTTTAAGTTTAGTATTCGTTGTGAACGCGAATCAAATCACAAAAGTAATGGTACGATAGTCAAACGAACATTACAATGAAAATTCGTAAATAATCGGAAAGAAAACCTTTTCCTATTTATTGAGTGGAATCTCATCAGTCGACACTTTTCAGTTAGTCATGGACATACGGTTCAAGTTTGAACTTGTAACTAATTAGCTGACAGAAAAATGCTCGAACAACTAGTTTTCTGCTCATCCACCTTTAATGAAAAAAAAAGATTCAAATGTCTGATTATTTTATTTTGTCGTATAAATTATATCGAGTAATTACAGTTTTCATCCGGTTCCCCTGAAAATGAAGAAGAATAAATAAACCATGAATATAAATTGAATTGTGATGAGGAAATATCATTAGCACTAACGTTATATTGTTATGGAATCAACAAGCAGACAACGCTAAAAACTCCAATAGCTGACGTATCATGTCTATATATTAAATTCTGTGTCTTAAAAATTTTTTTACTACAATTAGTAATTCAAGTAAGTATATAAAAAAATATATACTGGTTCCACTCAGAAAACAGCCAATGATAAACACAGATGTTCAGTGATTCTCTGTTTCCTATAAGAACAGAGATTGTTAATAAAGACTACATGCCGTCGACCTGTATGGTTCGACAGACGTACATTACAAACTGATATCACCTATGTACACTGTGTTAACATAAAAGTTGTAAACACTGTTGAAATAGACTAACTGGCATCAAGAGGTTGTAGAGAGACGACAGAAATCCTAAATTTATGGATAAATCGTGGTATAAAGTCTTAAGAGATTACTAGCGTTTTTATTGAGCCTTGTAACTGTAACTAATCCGTATTTGTGCTTTTCAGTTGATTGGAATGACTACTATTAAACCTACTTAAATTTTGTGTCGAGTGGAAAAGATAAATGGAAGCCAGTTTGTTTAATCCTTTTGTCTCAGACAAACGATTTGCTAACAACTGAAACCGAAGATGAGTTTGAAAGATATTACATTCTGACCAAGGAGGTGAATCTAAACGAACGGAAGTTTTGTACATATCTGGGCCATCAGTAACTGATTTTGCATTACAGTTTGATTTTAGGTTTCAGTTGCAAAGGATATCAAGCAGGTACAAGTAAAGGCTTAAGAAGGCAACCTCCGCAACAAAATTTGAGATCAACAAATGTTTAATAGTTCTCTTCACATGTGAACATCTAAAAATAAGCATTTAAGTCCTTGGATGTCACAACTATATTTGTTGAATAGGTTTGGTTGGACCCATTCAGTTTATGGTAGAACCAATCTCAGAACTGTAGGTACAATTTTAAGAAAGTATGTTTCTCTTACTAGTTACTTCTTGCTTTGATTGCATCTTTTGTTTCAATAGCATACAAACTGGTGCCGATAAGCATTCAAGTGATCGTTCCACTAATATAATTTAACTGAATGGCAACTGTGGTGATATCAAAAACTCGAGAAGAATTAGGTTTTTGACGAAGATAAGCTTGACAATTCATATTATAAGCAATTTCTAGACCAAGAAAATGCATAAACGGACTAACAGTCGAACTACTGCGCAAAAAGCAAACCATTTATTCTATATCAAGATTTTGGAATAGCAAAGTAAGGTAATCACCATTGAATTACTACTGTTTATTAACAGTGAGTGTGCTTTATTCACACAAAAAATTTGAAGAATTCTACCTGGTAGTGTGATATATTATAACAGGTTCATTTAGAACATTCAAGAAAAGTGTCATGTGCAGATTAAATTACCCAAGTAAACGGTAGTTGAATTCAAGAATATACATACTTTAATACTACTTACATGTCAATTCGACGTCTTTTTGCTTCCAACTGGCGTACTTCTTTTTCCTTTCGCTTGATAGAATGTACCATTTTCTTATATACATTTTTGTGTTTTTTCGGCAACATTAACTCCCTTAACTTACGTTCAGCATTTGCTTCCTCCTTCTCTTTGTACATCTTAACTGTTTTGCTTTCAGCTCGACCAGGTGTTACTTTGGGTTCCTTACCTAATGTTGTTATTCCACAAATAACAGACAAAAAATAACTAAAAACTTGTGAAAATAATTACATTTTATTTAGATCAAAAATACCTTGAAACAATCTTTATTCTAATTGTTCAACCATCACATAAATAGAATAATAACTATAATGGGTTTGTAATATTCTAACTTAATTATGTGGGTAACAATGAACGATAAAATGGTACAGTTGGGAACAAAAAGACCAAATACATCTTTACAAACCATACCAAATTTTATTCGAGTTGAAAATCACATTTTCTTGCTCGGACATTGAGAATAATGATCTCAAAACAAGGAGACCTAACAGACACAATCTTGTTAGTAGGAAATGTTGACAGAAGCTAAGAAAAATGACTCAAAAGTAATTACGCTACATATGCGTTTTGGAAATACTGAATATCATATTATGGCATGTCTGTATTGCTTTGTAAGATCCTTACTTACTTACTTACGCCTGTTACCCCTCGTCGAGGAGCATAGGCCGCTCACCGGCATTCTCCATCCAACTCTGCCCTGAGCCTTCCTTTCCAGCTAACATTCATCCTTTTCATATCTGCTTCTATTTCCCGGCGTAGTGTGTTCTTTGGCCTTCCTCTTTTCCGCTTCCCTTCACCATTCCAAGTTAGGGATTGAGTCGTGATGCACATTGGTGATTTCCTTAATGTATGTCCGATCCACTTCCAACGTCTTTTCCTAATTTCCTATTCGGCTGGAAGCTGGTTTGTCCTTTCCCATAAAACGCTGTTGCTGATAGTACCCGGCCAGTGAGTGTTGAGTATTTTGCGTAGACAACTGTTTATAAATACTTGTACCTTCCTGATGATAGCCGTAGTAGTTCTCCACGTTTCAGCTCCATACAGTAGGACTGTCTTGACGTTCGTATTAAAGATTCTGACCTTGAAATTGGTTGAGAGTTGTTTTGAGTTCCATATGTTCTTCAATTGTAAAAATGCTGCCCTTGCTTTGCCAATCCTCGCCTTTACATCTGCATCCGATCCTCCTTGTTTATCAACGATGCTCCCCAGGTACTTGAATGTTTCCACCTCTTCCAGAGTTTCGCCATCAAGTGTGATTGGGTTGGTGTTCTTTGTGTTGCATTTGAGAATCTTGCTTTTTTCTTTGTGAATGTGGAGGCCTATCGATGCGGAGGCTGCCGCTACATTTGCTGTCTTCATCTGCATTTGTTCGTGTGTATGAGAGAGGAGGGCTAGGTCATCTGCGAAGTCCAAATCATCTAATTGAAAACAAAGAGTGTATCCAGCTACTCTATTGTCATCGATTCTCAGCCATGTCACACAGAGTCTCAAACCATTGGTTACGATAGTCGCGTGGACACCAACCAATTAGTCTGCATCTGCCAACATGACTCAGATTAGAAGTTAGTTATTTCAATCACTGATGCCACGTTTTGGTTTGGTCGCCCCTTACTCTCTTCCAACCATCCCAACACTAGTCAGCATTGTTCGTCGTGGTAATCGGTGTTTAGGCATACGTAACATATGGCCCAACTATCTCAGTCGATGAAGATTCACAGCCTCATCAACTGACTTATCATCATTCCCTAATACTCTGCGTCTAACCTCACTATTACTTACCTGGTGATCTCAGCAGATGCGAGCAATATTTCTAAAGCATCTGTGGTCAAATACTAGTAACCTACGAGTATCTTCTACTCTTAATGGCCATGTTTCACAGCCGTAAAGTAGAACAGAACGAACTGCTGCGCAGTATACTCGTCCCTTAATTGATAGACGGATATCTCGTCTTCGCCATAGGTGACGTAAGTTGGCAAAAGCCAAACGAGCTTTCTGAATCCGTGCTGAGATTTTGTTAGACACCAACCCATTAGGGCTGATCAGACTTCTAAGATAAGTGAAGTTGTCGACGTGTTCGATTACTTCACTCCCTATCCTTAGTTCAGGTGTTGACACAGACCAGTCCTGAGGCAATAATTTGCATTTAGAAGGGGAGAAACGCATCCCAAACACTGACCTCATGTCATATACAAAAGGTCAGTGCTTTTTTACTTCTATGGAGAGTAGCCGTACTGTTTCCGAAGCATCCATTCAGTGATTGAGCGACCGGGAAATGGAAGTGTATTACACTAGCACAAGTATTATTATAACAAAACAGTACATTTGTGAGGCAACAAGCACTAAGTTGCGCAACATCGGTAGTCCGATTTTTTACTCATTGGAGGATTAAAAGTAAGTTGTTTCATTATTATAAATAATCCAATGTTCAATTCATTTGAAATTATAAAGTTAAACCTTCGTATTAAAATATACTAGCCCAAACACTATAGGTATAAGATTTACAGTTGTGGTTTAGTGGTCAAACCAGGGTCGAACCCCACTCCACCTACTTTCATTTGTGAGGCCGAGCAATATTACTAGCCCTAACACAGAGTATCTCAAAACTGAGTACGTGAACTTGTATTTGTCAAATGGGTATCATAACAACAATAATAATAGTGTTCTCATTAGTGATCCACCTAATATTATCAAAACACTACGTGCAAAAAGTATTGAGAAAGCCAAAGTTCAGTCAAATACAAAGCATACCTTTTGAAACTTTCTTAAGTTTACATCGCTCCTTTGTCTGCACATTTGTTTTTAAATCATTTTGCTTTTTAGTGGAAGAATCATCCAAAAGGTCATTATCCACTTCTGACTGACTCTCAATAGTGCCTTCAGACTGGGCTTGGACTCTAGCTCCACGGATTTCAGCCAGACTCACCAAACCAGCAAGGTAATCAGCCTCTGGTGGACGATAGATGGATGCACCATCCCCAAATCCAGGAGCGACACCGACAAGTCCACCACGGTTTGAAAGTGACATAACTGCTGTGTCTAAAAGTTCATCAGTACCAGAACTTCCAATAAACGGACTTAAATGAGGTGGGAGACTACAACCCGGTAAGTAATCTTGTGTTGGTAGCAGTCTCCCTGAATTTAAACAGTCGAAAATCCACTGTGGTTGGACATAGTAACTGTCGTTGAATAATAATAGAAATAAGACTCAGTTAAAGGAAATTTTATAATTTATTCAAAAATTCCAATGACTAAACCAAACTTTATATAAGCGAAACCGATGTGTCTGTTTTTTGTGAAATTCACTGGGTCGACACTAGCTACGGAATCCACTTCTTTAGATTAAACATTGGAAAAAACGACAAAGTAGCAGAAAGACTAGAAGTGTCAACTTATGCAGTTTACGACGATGCTCATGGTAAGCGTTCGTATCATACATTTACGTCTTTAAGCGGTAAAGCAGACTGATCTAATAATTAAAACATCTACGGTGGCTTATATTATTCGTTTTGAATCGATAATCTGGAAAAAATGTATCCCATAAAGTTTACATATTTTATTCCACAAAATATGTAGTAGTAAAATTGCTTCATATTTAGCTAAAACGTTCACGTAATAGAAGATAACACCAAAACTCCATATCATTAACTACAAACAGATAAGTTCTGGGTTTTATGAACATACTTAAGAATCTTGAGGTCTGTTTGCTTCCCTGGAGTTAGACTGAAGTTGAGAGTACTACCTTTGGTTTCCAGTTTTACTGTCAGTATGCAATGAGGCATCTAAGATCAAGTTATATGTTGCTTAAGCTCGCCTTTATACTCCAAGTACAGTGTGATTATAGTTATCTACTTCTTTGAATTCACTTATTGGTTAGTTTGTGCGAAATTGGTATGTGGAAAGACTCGAGCTTTGTTACAGCAGTTCATCCGGCAATTAAGTTTCTTGTTAAAAACCTAATACAACGATTTCTGCTTATAGCCTTCACTTTTGACAGATAAAAAACCCACGACGAATAAAACATATTTAAAACTGTCGTGTTGGCTCCAAGTATTAAAAATAGAGCGAAATAGCTTGATGGCTTCCTATGAACGGGCAGAGCCCCCAAATGCCCTGGTATGGCCGAGAGTAGGGAGAGTCCGCTCTCCTCGAAATGCTGTCACATGGCCACGCGTATATAGCCTCTGCCAGAAAAATCCTACTCATTGCCTTCTCGTGGAGTGTTGTTTACAAAATTGACAGGACGAAAAGCGAATGTCCGGCGCTTTAACCGGGTTGGTGGACATGGAGGGTCCACCTAGGGGAGTTGGAAAACCCTGATTCCAAACTAATAGTACATATAGGCTCCAGGATCCTGAAGGAACAAAAAAAGTATGAAACAATTGTTGGTCACCGGCTATCACGGGAATCCATCTCCTAACATTGCTTCACTGCCTTGTGGATCAGACCTTTAGGTTAAAGGCTCCGGGTGTGGCCCCCTAAGAAAACCACCTGTTTCAGTTTGGGCACCTGGGCAGTATCGTAGCCCTCACACAAATCAAATGAGATTTTTGTAGCGCATATATATCTGGTCCTCCCTTGTACCAATATTTATGTGTTTAAATAATAATAATAATAATAATAATAATAATAAATAATGAATGGGCAGAACTATCAGAATAACGAACTGAAATCCCACATCATTTTCCCAACTTTCGATACAGGTTAACTGTGTTATGAATTATTAGATTCAGGTTGTCAAGTTATACATAAGTACAGACATGTGTGGCTTTTGCTGAAACTTTTTGGTAAAATAATAATACATTTATTAGCATTTTACTCAAAGGTACGATATTAAGGTTATTAAACCAAAAAAATTGAATAATAAATTGTTAGAGGACTATAATCTTTAAATTCCGTCAATTAGTTAATCATCAATAACTCAGTTGAAATGGTTAACAGACGAACTTACCGTGTCAATTTCATATCCATCATCGGACGATCTACTACTTGATAGTCAATAGTAGGATCATCTTCTTGGAATGTATATCCTGGAGAAACAATTTTATCCCAGGAACACTCCCCGCCACAAGATCGTATAATCAAACATATCACTTCTCGCGGAACTTCACGCATAAGGAAAAACCGTTTGTTCTTGAAAAGTTTTTTCACGTTTTGAACTTCTATTTGCTTACTTATCGCTTGCGAAACCTGCTCATCAATAGCCTAGGATTACAAAGCAAACTTTAAGAGTTGAGATATACAAAAGGCATTTTTAACCTACTGAGGTTTTATACATCTTACAAACAAATTAACACATGGCTTTACAAAAACGGATATTCAAAGCTAAAGTTGGTCGTGAAACAGTCATCACAGAATGCTCTAGGATTACTTAGAAGTCCGAGTACATAGTTTATTGCAATATGTTCCCTAAAACAGGTAGGTAAGAACCGGTTAACTATTAGTAAGCAAGATAATATTGAGCAGAATGTCTTACAAGGACTACATGATGTATGAGTAAAATTTTACGTCATGTGGCTCAGCATCCAAACACAGTTTCATCCACTAGACAGTGAGGCATATACTGAATGAGATATAATGATAATCTTAAGATTTTTAAAAATATGTGGATTTTAAACTTTAATTCAATATGAAGTGTAACACAGTGACCAAGTGCAAGCTTGTGTGCTTGGCTCTGAATATCACTTTTGGTGGTGCTTAGATCATGGTGTTACTTAATTTTCGTTAATAATGCTTAAGTTCTATTAGCAATGGTATCTGTGAGTGCTATTCTACTAACTTGATTTTTCGCATGACTTGATTTATCTAATTGCTTATCACTACTTTGAATTTTCTGTGTACTTTAGGGATGGGTTTTCTCTGCTATATATATTAACCAATACTATTTCGAACTATTTGGCTTCGATGTCAATTGTTTCTAACTTCGTCAACTGCTAATAGTTGAATCGCCGTGTGCCAGTTGTTGTAAATGAAGTTTTACTCTAGGACATGTGGACATTTAGCTATTCAGAGTACAAATGCTACTTATACTACGTATTGCCCCTTTATAATTGTTTTTTGCAAGCAACATGAAAACTTTAGGTATGCAAAGTGTTTTGCGTCAGAATTTTTTGGTATCGTTGTTAAAAATCAGTGTTTGAGATCAAATAGATATAGCTCATGAAATAGCGATTTTAATGAACATCAACTAATCAACTCACAAAACAATAAAAATTACCTGCAGCTCTGTCAAATCATCAACGTCGACATCGTTTGATGGTTCTGTGCGCTTTAACGGAAAGCTGAGGGACGACATAAACTAAAATGATGATTCACAGTGGAGACGTATACGAAACTACCTCAAAAAGACTCTCTTTTTGGCCACAGTAGTATCCATTCGGATCATGCTCAACACGCACGGCGAGTTTTGGGGGGTAAACTAGGTTATTGATTCGGTACAAACTGAAATGGTTGAGTTACTACAGAAACTTACTGACACATCAAAGACCCAATAAATGTAGCATCGAATTCCAGACATGTTGCTAGTATACGGTAATCAACATCAGTTGGGGTATGAGTAACAGAAGCATGTGGCATAATCCAGACTACTGGAATTCCATCGATTTCAGCTTGGACATAAAATCCTTTTATGCTAATAAATGCCTTTTGACCTAGTTATTAATTAATTCCAACTAACCTTTCGAACTGCCTGAGTTGCAACAACAAGATTCAAAAATTCCACACACAATCTTCGACTGATAGAGATTAAAGAGGGGTGGAATTGAGTAAGTTTAGGAAGCTTCTCGAAGAGAAACAGCAAGTTAAGGCTGTCACTTATATCCCGCAAAGCATCCTGCCTCGTAGGGTATCTAGAATTCCAGTGAGTCAAGACACACCATGTACCTTTCTTTGACGATTTGATGAAGCGTATATCTTGGCTTATTTATCCTTACTCGAAACTCCTTTTCTTTATCTTTTCTCTCTCGTGCTTTCTTGAGCTTTACATGGAATACCCGAAGTTTCCTAAACGTTTCTATCAAAGGTTCATGTGACAGAAACGCTATATCTTTCGCATTATAATAAATCCTGGGTTGACTGTTTCCCTTTCCAACTTTCTTTCTACTTCTGGGTTCTACTGGGTATATCCCTTTCAATATACATAGCCGCCTGAAGAATGAGAGAATAACAATGAGAGAACAGGTGAGAAACCTACCTGAAATTAGGAAGGTTTAGCTGCAGGCGTCTCATTGCCTGCTTTTGGCTGAGAAACGCAACAACCTGACCCTTCGTGTGCTAACATTGAAATATGATACTTTCTCAACAGGAACCTACCTTTTTCTTCATTGTTCCCCCCATCACGCCTAAAATTTCAAAAAAGAAGAGTGACCTAGAGAGTAGCAAACTGGTATATTTGAACACGAAGACGATCTGTAGCTGAAATAACTAACTTTTGAATCTGGATCTCTAGAATATGTGCGCGTACTTCGAATGATTACCTGTGTTTTTTATTTGAGCCTGGAAGAGCATAGATTTCTTTCTGTGAAACATTACTTTTCTGTCCTACTTACTTACTTACTTTCGCCTGTTACTCCCAATGGAGCATAGGCCGCCGACCAGCATTCTCCAACCCACATTACTCTATTCTGGGCCTTCCTTTTTAGTTCTATCCAATTTTTGTTCATTCTTTTCATGTCTGTCTCCATTTCTCGGCGTAATGTGTTTTTTGGTCTTCCTCTTCTCCTTTGGCCTTCAGGATTCCATGTGAGGGCTTGTCTTGTGACACAATTGGGTACCTTTTCTGTCCTAGCTATTTTTTAATTAACAGCCCCGTTTGCATTTTTTCAAAGACCATCTTTGTATCATATTATAGTTGAATGGCTTGTAGCTGTAAACAATTCCCCAAAATCAATAGCTCATTAAGTGTTCGACATTGGATGCTGACCACGTTGTTTAAGTGGACTTGTTTAACCGAAGGCTTTCTGTCATGCGTCCGTACCAGATCACGTTGCAACACGGCGTGGGACACAGCTCCTACATTCATTAGCCAGCTTATAGTAAAGGTTCCTCGATGTATTGGTAACGCATCAAATATATCTTTCCTACCTCTCCTCGTCTGACTTCTGGTTTCTATTCGACTGGGAAAGAACGATTATAGAAGATACTACTGGTTGCTAGTTGCCAAACTAGAATATCCGTGGTATCCTCAGGCTTCAGATCTATGTAACTCTTATTGATGTCTAATTTTTGAGCTGGAAATGCATTGGCTTTCTTAATCATTATCAGAAACAGGCATATATCTTGAATATACGAGATCGTATCATATGTAAATCGATGTTCACGTTCAGTTGCATGGAGTTATTGGCTTGAGATGAAAGTATCCAATCCAGACACAGCCTTTTTAACTCTTCTAAGCGCAATACCCTATTCAATACGTTAATAATAAATTTCTTTAAGTAGGCCAACATTTTTCCCTATACTATGAAGTTAAAGACAACCACCAAATATCACTGAAACAAAGAACTATAATGTGATCAAGATTACTTCTAAAGTCAACATAAGTTCTGTTACAAAAAATCGGACATATTAAAAATAGAGACGAACTGAAGAAGGCTCATTTTTGAATGGGTTGTGTACCTAGTTACCAACACATTAGATTTAGTCCAACCAAAAATTATTCAATAGTTGAGAGTAACTAAGATATCTAACATGGGTGCGAATTTATTCTACATGGCCGATAATGCCCTAATGACATATCTTTCCAAAAAATCCACGTACTAGCTAAGACAAAGCTATCTAACATTGGGATGACTCTGAACATACCATCACCAGTAAAGGCAGAGGTATACAATCACAAAACGATTGATTCGGTTCTTGTAAAGTACTCTGTGATGTCATTTAACTTTTTGGAATCCGCAATTGCCGTTGAAGACGATGTTCGGCCTTTCGTGTACTTGACCCAACAGAGTAAGTAATAGAAAAACATAGAAATTCCAAATTTTGTTCTAGATGAGCTCTAGTAGCTACAGAAGGACCAGAATTTGGCTAGATGTAAACACCGTTAACGCTCACAGCCAGGCTGACTCAGTCCTCTAACACACATTATCAAGCAATTGAAAGGTTTACCGGATAGGTTTATGTTTAGGGAAAAACTGGGATGAGTCAGTAAGAGCCAGTATGCTTTAGGTATTTGTATTCGAGTCAGAAACAGAATATACCGTGAAAACCATTTTGTGATGCAACAAGGCAGTTTCATTATCTTCATTAAGAATGCTAACTGATGTGTTCATTGTCCAGGAAAATCCAATTCAATTCATCAACGTGCTGATGAAACTTGTAATAATACTCAAGTAGTAAATAATTGGGAATGTCTTTTTGATCAGTAAACTCAATAATCACGATTATTCTTGTTTTCGAGTGCCATATGCCTGTAGATTTGTGTTGCAGTTCCATATTATTACATCTATCTTTGTTACTATAATAATAGAACTAGTCTCAAAACTGTAAATTTGTTATGATCTGATCACCTAATCTATACGATCTTACGTGGAAATCACACCATTGTCTACACTGACTCGTCCTGTCATTATCGTCAGCAATATGGTGTCTCGCGCTTTTAAAGAACATATTTACGACGGAGATAGAACAATATATTTAATATGAATAAAATGAGTTACGCAGGAATGACCACGTTCGCAAGGCTGAGTCTTGCCATAGGATTCACTTAATTTGGACGTTCCCGCGTTCACTATTGTTGACCTTCTCTTAGTGTTATACGTTGAAAGTGAATCTACTCAGTAATTATATTTTCAGCTTCTAAGATCGTGTGGTTATCAACCAATACCATTACAGGCTAAATGAAGGAACAGAAGTCTAACCTCAGAGAGTAAGAATCCTAACCAGTGCTCCAGTTAGTTTGTTAGGCTTAATTCGGTTTATTTAGTCACGAGATTTTCTCGACCATGTTACTGATAAACCGGGATACGATTTTGTAATACTACAAATACATATGAATTATTATCAAAAATTCATTTAATACTTAAAAATGCCGATAATTATGTGAATTTCGGATGCATAACTGACGGCAATTCTTTGAACCTAAGTGCACTCGTGAGAGACATGCTTGTAGTAGGCATCGAGTCGAGGATGGATTATGATCATCTGTACAATTCGATTACACGCCCAGAAACGACTTGGTTCCTTTGATAACTCGCAAAGCAGAAGACTGTAATTAGTCCAGATAGAGTTTATTTATTGGCGATCTCGTGGTATCGAAGGAATACCGAGACGTGCTAACGAGTACAGGTAAAATGGGCAGAGCGCAAGAGAGTTCAAACCAAACAAGGCGGATAGCGGAACAAGAAGTGAATTTGATACAGTTAAACAAGTGCGGTAAAACAATCGCTGGTACAATTGGTTACAATAATAATAATTGTTTCTATTATTCCAATCGTGTTCTTATCCAGACAAGCCGGTCACTACATTCTATAGACTCAATGTTCTGATGTGCAATAAACCAACTATTTATATTTACACAAACTGGTCGATAATGCATACAAGCCAGTCGCAAGTATCAAGTTTGGGATAATATAGAGTTCCATTTGTATGAAGTCGAATGATTATAAGGTGTCGAAATCGACAAAGCTTATGTGCCACAAATATAAGTGACATGGTGTTTAGACTTTCATCTAGCTTTAAGCGCTACGATTTTATATTACTTCATAACTTTTGGTAGCCCAAACGATCGAGAATAATAAAATTCACTGTCTAATAGTCACATATAGACCAGATTTGGAGCCAATAAAAATACAGGGAAACAGACTGGATGTGTTTTTCAAAACTAAATAAAGCGCGTGAAAATGTAAAGGGGAACTACTAATCAGTACAAACACCACATCTTATTATTTTGAACTGGATAGAGTAAAACCAAAGTTAGCTGTACAGGTTTATGAAATGCATATTTTACACAAACAGAAGAACCAGGAACATAATCTGGAGAAAAATGGCAGACAATTCAAGACAAGTAGGAAGTGTTATACATTCAGTCGGATAAACAGTGTGAATTGCTCAAGTGAGCATGATATAAGAATATGAAACAGACAAACTAAAAATGGTTTGCATAGCCCATCAAATTTCAAGAGTTTTTAGATAGATTCGAGTCGCGGTTGACTATGAGCACCACTACAGAAAGATTATGTGCAAGATATCGACGTGGATCCCTCGGTACGCCAAAAACCAGAAGGCTGTTAATGGTCTAGATAAGATATATTTGTTGGCGATCTCGTGATATCGGAAGAATATCGAGACATGCCAGAATTTACTGGCGGAACTGCCAAGTGTAAGCAAGTTCGTACAAAGTCACAGGCAACGGAAGGAAAAATCTTTGGTACAGTTAAACAGACAAGTACAGAAAAACAATCATTGGTACAATTGGTCATAATAATAATTGTTTCCATTACACGATAGACTTGTGTTACAATGTATTTGTGAGAATTGTTGAAAATACACCTATATACTGTATATTAGCACGTAGTATAAAACAACGCCCAAAAAACGAGTTGATGAGAGGAAAAGGTCGGAGAACTATAATTAACTTATCGTTGGATGACCATTAGAAGATGGAGGAGGATATTATCAAAGAATCTATCTTGTACATAGTTTCTTAGGTTTAAAACACCCCTAGATAGGGCTTATGTGAAACACAGAACTCCCGTTACATCCAAAAAGTGAGTATCGCATAAATGGAGAGTTCCACAGAGGATTCTGACTGCAGCTCTTACTTGAAATTGAGAGGTGAATGCGACGCTGAAGTTCGAAGCGATAGGAGATATTTTTATGTCTATCTAGCCGCTAAAATTCAAGCGAATTCAACATACTTCTAAAGTTTCATATTAAATTCAGAATTCGAGGGATTCCATTTTCTGTACCCTTGATTTTCACAATTCACGCTGTTTCAGGTTCAAATGGATCAAAAGACTATTGTAGCCAGTCTACAATAGCAACCAGTCTAATAATAAGGTGACAGACGTATAAGATGGGGTAGAAGTACTACTAGAAAAAACGCAACAACATACAAGACTAATTATACCTGAACAATAGGTGTGAGCACTTGATAAAACCCGATTGTCACGACGGGAAAAATATTCCTATCACTCAAGGAACAATATTCTACCAAAAGATAGAGGCTTGGTCAGTTCATTACGCCCTGAAGATGACCAATCAATTATAAAGTGAGAATTATACATGGATCGCTAAGACTATACAATTAATTACCAGTTATCGACAACAAACTACTCCAACAAACAGGCAAGGTGCTTCAATGTTAGTAACAGAGAACGGGAGCTATGAGTTCAAACAGCCCTAGCCGAAAAACAGCAATATAACATGCTGACCGCCAAAAGATAATGTTGAGTAAAGAAGACAAGACAAACATTAAAAGACTCAACGACATCAAAGAGCTGGTTGTAACTAAGAGTTCGCAAACAATACAGTAATGATAATTGTAAATCAAACATAAAACAAATGTTCGAAAATGCAAATAACAATAAAAAACGATACATAGGAAAGAAAGATAAATGGTAGTCAAAACATCCATGTAGGTGTGTTCTTACACATTGGCATAAAGAGATACCAAAACGGATTCCGGAGTTGGTGAATAGATTGAAACCTACAAACTACGGGCCCTGCATCCTTGATTTACCTAACATTGAAGATCTTACTAATAGGAAGCGACGAAAGTCTTTGATCCCACTTAGTTAAACCACGAACTTACAAGTCAGGAATTGCCTTCGACTCCAATACCAACTGACGACATGGTAAATATCAATCTAACTTCAGATTTAATGTTAATAAAACTGAAGTCCCTTAGCACAATGAAGTCACCAGGATGTGAAGGCATCCTTCCTATAATTCTGAAGCACTGTGTAGAGACTAACAATACGTACTCACAGCCTCACCTTCATGTCCATGAGGTTGTTGGGCCCTCTCACTTCAGAAGAGGCCAAATGCAAAGACGTGCAACAAATTGGGTCATAAGACTGTGAAACAAATCTGGAGAAGATAGACTACGTAATGTTTTATTATTCTTGTGGGCTAGTGTGTAATAAGAGGTTATCTGAGAATGGCGCGTAATATACTGGGTAAATCAAGTTGCCTCAGCAAAATCATCCTTCCCAAACCTGACAACCATGCTCTGCTAGGCGACCCCCAAAAGAAAGAAAACTCATGTACAACCCCACTGTCTCTTATTAGGGGTTGCTCTTGTTTATGATGTTGTCTCAGACAAAGCGGCCACAGCCCTTTCAGTGATAAACTTCAACAGGAGACTTGATAAAAACGTACCCAGTCATGTATTGTCATCTACAACATGGACTAACCGCACCTGATTCGTCTGTTTTCATTAAAACAAGCCATCAATTAATTCCCATCTTGTTTATTATCATCTCCGCTTACAATTTATTCTTACACTTCGATTTGTTCCCACTGTTTTCATTATTAATCGGTAAATTTCTATATTTATCAACTTACAGCTTCATATAGTCATCTCTCCTTAATTTTTCTGCATCCGAAGTTTTTCTTCATTCCTTTTTACGTTAAAACCTACCTAGTAATGTAATAGATGTTGGTTACAGAAACCCTACTACCCTAAGACAAGTGCATTCAATCAGGTTCACTCGTTCACATTTACTCACATTGTTTTGGATCTCTCTTTAACAATCTTTGAATAATCTCGACCGAGTGTTATAATTTGCAATTTTTTCTCTATTGAAAAATACTTTGTTTTCCTAATTATTGCATTCAATAATCCAAAATATTTATATAAATATGCTCGAAGTAATAAGCGAATTTATATAAGCTGAAAAGTAGTATCACAATCGGATCTAAAAACACTGCCAAGTACTTGTAAATTCAATTGGTTAATATTGGATATGAAAATAAGACATAAACTAACAAGATCAGTCTTTTTATAATCTTTGCGAGAGTAATTCTCAAATGTCATGCTTACAAAAAATTGTAGGATGATTTACGGATTGACGAAGCGATCTGTTAATTTAGAGAACTTAAATTACCATTTATTTACAAGGGTTTTTTTAAAAATTCCAGAAATCTATCATGTTTCAAGGTTGAATAACAGTAATGTCATTAAATATCTTTTAATCTTTTAAATGTAAGGATGGAATATAGAATGTATATTCCATTTCTTAAAACTAAGAAAATCTGTAGCAAGGATAAGACATTCCATTCTTAATCAGGTCTACAAACATATATAATACAAACTAAACAAGTTTACTATCATCTTCATAGCTGTTTGCACTTGACTGTGGACTGTCAATAAAATCACCTGCTAATTTTCGTATATATTTGTTTCAAGCTTCATATTTAGCGTTAGGTTGATTAATCTCAATAATGTGTTGCAAATTGTTCAGTTTGTACCATATAGGCGATGAGAGCTTTGTCAATTAGTTTTGCTCTCTTTTAAAGTCCATGACTATTTTTACAAATTACGTCTGTTTAAGCCCTAAATTTAAATTTGTCTCATATATATATTGATAAGTTAGTTAATAGCTTTTCAGATTATATTTTCACTAAAGACAATGAACATACATGTGCATACGAGTACGGTAATGTAGCTATAATTAATTCCTCAAAAGAAATAGATTCGTAAGCAATGATACATACCGATTCGGTTTTAATAGACATGTTACTAGTTGAAGGTTCTCAATCAAGCATTCGTACCAGGCCGCTTATAATTTCGTCGTGGAATCTGTCTATTCCGATGGGTAGCCAACTTAATAATAGGACATTAATTTATCTGCGTATTCCATGAAATGCAAATGTCTATTCTACACTAACCGCTTCTTCTTCCATTGATTTGGGGATTTCATTCAAAATAGACTCGGATACTGGTATTATCAAATTCTGTCATATCTGAATCCGCTTAAAAGACTCTATGTGTACGTTTTTGGATAATGTAAAAGGTGATAGATAAATAAAAGAGGACCGAAAACTTTACGTAATAAATTTTTTGATTAATTTTTCGAAATATATCAAGTAATATATGCTTGAAAAAAATTGCAAAATGCTGGTAACGGAAACAGTAAGAAAAACAAACAAAAAACAATAGTAAATAAGAACAAGTTGATCATTGAACATTATACACGGTGGCATAACATGCATTTACTTAAAAGAAAAAAACAGTCATATCTTTAATTTTGGTTATTATTATCATTATTATGATTAGCTGTTCCTCTATTGTTTTCCCGCTTACTGTTTACCTCCCTCCCCAGTCTGCTTCTTAGTTTTTTTTAATACTAGTAATATTCAGTATTGCCTTAGTTAACAGCTAGTCTCTAACACGAAAGACAAATCGATACAACGAAAAAATCTTGTTCTTTTTATGTTTTTAAGAACAACTTTGGTCTAAAGCAGCAGAAATGATAAAAAATTATCATTATAAATTGGAGAAATACCATCATACTCATACATACAAATTATGTGTAAGTCTACGATTTGTAATTTACTCAGGCACTCATCTTCATCAATATCATCATCATTATTACTGTCGAGTCATTTTTACAGATAAACAAAAAACAGAAAGAAAATTTACATACATGAAAAAAAACTATAAACAAATAGACAAAACTTCAACAGACAATTGGATAAAAATCATTGTGAATGAATAAATAAATTTGAATTCCTTTAATGTATATTTTGGAAAAATAGACCAGAGGTAAGAAACAAAGAAACAGACATTGGAAACACATAATTATCATTGTTATCAATAATAATAACAATAATCGCAATAATAATAATAATAACAATAATGTATACTAATAAGCATTGATCATTGTTAATAGTTTGTCTTGTTTTTGTCTTCTAGAAAAACAAAAGGTGGGAGAAATAAAACCGATTACACAAAAATAGTTTCGAACTAATAAACTGTACAAAATGTAAACAAGAACTGTTTTTAGCATTGAACTAATCATTTGTTTACTTCAATAACTTTAAATAATATAAATATACATAGTTACATTAATACCTGAGTTAGTTTAAATGCATTATGATTTAATGTATCAATTCATGCCTTAATGTTTGTGTAAAATAGAAAAAAAACTAACAAATAAGTAAACAAACAAACAAACAAGCTTACAAAAAAACCCAAATAAAATGACTACAAACAAATGAAATTTAAAATAGAATTTGGCATTAAGGATAAACAAACATAGAATTAGAAGAGATACAGTAATATGAGAAAGAGAGAAAATCGTATGTTGTTTTCCTGATCAAACATTATTAATCTTTTCTTATTAACAAACGATTAACATGATGTAAGATGTATATCGATGAGTTAGTGAAATATCAGGTTAGATAATATATATTTATATATAATGAATGATATCGTTAGTTTAGTCTGATTTTGTTTAAATGAAAGAAAAATGAAAACATGATATTCATTCATAAGTTATCAATAGATTTCCCATTTAATTGATCTACAGAATTAGAGACTGGTATACTACATGGTGATGATATATGCAAATCATCATCTTTTTCATGTAATTCTATTGTCTCCTCTATACAATAACCATTCAATTTTATTTCTGATTGATCGTTGATACTGTTCATCAATACAGGATCATTATTATCGTTATTATTATTATTATCATTACAATTGTCTATAATCAATGAAACAGTATGTAATTCTTGTGATGTAGCATTTGTAATTTGTATTGGTTCATTTATTAATTGTTCATTGGTGTTTTTATCTTCATTCTCATCCAACTCATTACATGTATTATTATTATTATCAGTGTTATTGTTATTATTATCAGGGGTTTTATTATCAGATAGAATAGTTAATGAATCAGTAGTAGTTTGTTTCATCACCAAATCTATTCCATTATGTTTTTTCAATGATAAACAATGAGTAAAATGTTCTAAAAATAATAACGAATTATTTAAATTTACACCACATAGAAAACATTCAAATTTTTTACTATTATTATCTACTGAATCTAATAATGATGATGATGATGAAGATTGATTTTTTAAATTTCCATGCATACTACTTAAATGATAATTTGCCATTTTCTCATCTAAATAATATGTTTGACAATCAATACAACCATATAGTTTACCAAGTGAATGTAATTTTTCTAATAATAATTTAATTTCATGATTAGTTAATTTTGTCCAATCAAAATTTGACCAAAGTGTTATAGATTGATTTTGAATATTGAATGTTGAACCGACATTGATATTTTGTTGCTGTTGTTGTTGTTGTTTGAAAGGATTAGAAACGTTACTAGATAAAAGAAGTAAACAAGAAAACAATAATTATTGATTTAACACTTACATGTTATTGTTAACTATAATTATCAAATAAAAATATTAAAAATTATTTAACTGAATCAAAATGAGAAATTTATATTTTTAAAAAAGAAATAAAGATCAAAGTATCATTTTAAACACCAATAAAATTGAAATTAATGATTCCTTGTTTTTTTTCAAATTGATCATTGACCCTTAATTAAATTGTTAAAGTAATCATTCAATTCAATGATTAAACAATAATTATCACTTTAAATCCTGTTATTAACAATTATTTTCTATTAAATTCCTTGAGATTGTCCCTTATTCAAACAAATTACTTTGATTAACAAAAAACTATGTTTTTGTTTTAAATATCACAATTAATGGACAACGTTTAAGCAACTCTAAAATGACCAAGGAATGTCCACTTACTTACTAGGGTTCAATTAAGATTATAGATTAATGTGAGGAATAAGGAATAGAATTTATAGTTGAACGTTACAGTGAGGAATTAAATTTAATGTTATTATCATGAACATGAACATTAGCTATAACACCAAAATGATATTTAACCAAATGAATGAATGAATGAATTTCGCGTCACAATTCAAGATCTACTATCTTAAGTATGATTAGTTCATCCATTAATTACAGTCTCGTCAAATTATTATATTTCTAATAATACTATATATACTATTTTTCAAAATGAAAAGAAAGTAGTATAAACTGAATTTTTGATTTAAGTAAAACATTAATCTTTAATTTAACGATTCATAGAAATTAAATTCAATAATTTGAAAACTATCGTATAAAAAATCATCAACTTCTCAATAAGGAGAATTTATAAGAAAAGATGGATAGTGGATAGCAGCGGAATCCAGGACGCGCGTTTCGTACACAGTATACACATATGCCAATTAGAGACTGACCAGTTGCACTCCTAAACATCAATAGGAAGATTCAAACAAACAATACTAAGTGAATTTAAATTTCACTCCATTGCACAAGCAAGTGGCTATCAGGGCTTAGTAGCTTAGTGGATAGAGCGATGGCGTTTGAAGCGAAAGGTATTGGGTTCGAGTCCCAGAGTGAACATCAACTCTGAGATGCAGGTACATCCAGCTGACGAGTCCCAAATAGGACGAAACGCGCGTCCTGGATTCCACTGCTTGCCATTACCAATCTTCGCTTACAATGCCTGTGAATTAAGGGTATATCGAGGTAATACGCACAGTATGCACATATGCCAATAAGAGACTGACCAGTTGCAATCCTAAACATCAATGGGAAGATTCAAACAAACAATACTAAGTGAATTTAGAGAGAAGTTGTTTAAAAATTTGTAATTGGATACCACATTATACATTACGTAAAATGTACACATGGGTATAATTTCAAGACTAAAGTAGTCCAAAATATAAACTTCCGAATAAATTAAGAATTTATACTAAACCTAAAGTGGATAAATATTTTTAGCAAAGAGGTTTTAATGGGAACCTGTTAAATTTTCAAAATTAGTTAATTAATTGGACTATCATTGAATACCTGAAAGAACTGAATAACTGTTATAAGGAGGAGGAGGCTTCCCTGAAAATATCAGAGACTCAAGTTAATTAGTTAAAGAGACATAAATATACAAAGATTTGAATAAATACTTCCTTATCGAATTAAATTAAATATTTAGTAGATGAACTAACAGCATCAACCTCTCATTAATAGATCAAATTGAAGAATTATAGTCCATCGATAGAATACAAGCATTTACACGATAAAATTAGTAAGTTAATCCTGCAAATAAAAAAAGAAAAACTGGCAAATTAATCACACCTTTCATGTCTTGTCGTCGCTAATGATGAAAGTGTTGTCTTACTCAACGATGAACAATTTCCTTCTTCCAATTTGATATTACTGTTTTCCCATATTTGCGATTTTTCCAAATTCTTTAAAAAGAAAAGAAAAGAAAAGAATTCTTAGTTTAAATTCATACAAATAACAGTTAATTGATTAAAAGAAACGAAAACACTTCGTTCAATGATTCTCTGATAAACTATAGTCAAGATTTTTTTGACTTAAACAATTTAAAGTGGATTGGAATATGTAAGTACATTGATTTTATGTGTAAACCGACCTAAAAGAAAAGTGTATTCAAAGGTATATTCCTTTAATTACTTATATCATATATTAGTCAGTTGTTAACAAGTTGGAACTATTGACTAATAACGAAATAATTATCATATTACACCATACCAATAAATTTAAACAGTACCAAATATTTTTAAGGTCATTTGGTTTATTTTTTCAGATTGATCACACTAAAAATGAGCATTCAATCCATTAAATGAAAGTAGAATGAAAAAAGCGCTTAAAAAAAGAATTCTTTCATTAATGTTAATTTGACCACCGTAATTACATTTAAATATTTAGCTACTGATTAATTTATAAGTAGTAAAATTAAATTACGACAATTTATTAGTCAAGGGCTTGCTGCTGATGTGAAATGCTATATGTATTGCGAAAACGATAGAAATTATCCTTGACCATGTACTTGTTGAAAATTTAATTACGAAACTGATAACTAAAAAGTTAAGCATGTAAATTAACTGTGAAATTCAACTCCTCAATATAACAGAACATGTTGTTAAATACAGTAGCAATTTTTGTAACTTCCTTTTAATGATAAGTAAATGAGAGAATTGATATTTATTATAAAGCTTTGTTTATTCCTAGTTTCAATGAAATGTCAAAGCAGATATATATGTATAAATTTAAGCAGATGACATAAAATGTATACAAATAGTACCCTCTTATCGAGTAATAATCTACATTGTATAATATAATAATATATAATAATAATTAATAAAAAGTAAATGAATATTTAAATAAATATTGAGTATCCAAAGATTATCTTTAAAATCATTTCTAAAATCAATATTCAAGTTAAGTTTAGAGAATACTAGTCGTATGATTAATAGATCAAAGAAAAAAAGAAATGTAATTCGAAGTTATAAGAAAAGATGAATGGTAGCTAGTAATGGAATCCAAGACGCGCGTTTCGTCCTACCTCAGGACTCGTCAGCTGAATATACTTGGATTCATAGTTGACGTTCACTCGAAAAATCAGTGCAAAAATGAGTAATTCAAAGTTGAATCGTGAAAATGTTTGTTCCCTTTTCTTTCTAACTATAAGGTAACATAAAAAGTTATATTTTCAAGTAGAATAATTAATTTACACACGTACCATTACAATCATTTAATACATATTAGACTGTTCTAATCTTTAAAAATTAGAATCAGACGTTTATAAACATTTAACTATTGTTTCTATGTTTTTTATTTGTTTGTTTTTTCATGTGTGCATAAAGAGGTATGTTGAAGTTGATTAGAATTGAACTAATTAATAACAATAATAATAACAACTACCCATCTTCTTATAATAAGATATTTTCATCAAAAGGTAATAATGAAAAGTAAATTATTTAAATTTTTCTTAATTGGATAACATTTATTAATTCTATGAACCTTATTCCATACTACTTTCATAGAGAAAAGAACATTACTGCAAAATTGTCAATGAAAACTATGATTTATTTGATGTGAACTGATTTCTAGTCATTAATGGTTATTTTGTTCTTAATCTGACTTTGTTTTAGATCCTTTTTTTAAACCGATACTGACAGTAAAGAAAATCTATCAGAATGAAGATTTGTGGAGATTTCAGTAATCTTAACAGTTGAGTTCATGAATAGACCACCACTGAAAATCTGGAAGCAGTAGATGAGATGGACTCATGATTTCAACTATCAAAACTACTGCAGTCTCTACAAAATCCCATTCTGACAATAATCATGTGCTCACTAGTGACTAGTTTCAAGACGGACTTCATAGAGTTCTAATGAGAAACCATAACCAGTGGAGTCCAATCCATGTCGGGTGGAGGGGTTATCCACCTCAGATAATGGATGAAGTGTTGCACAAAATCACGGATCGACTGAAGTTAGATATTAACACTTGAATGACTGCTGAGTAGTCTGGAGGTTAAGCGCATGCGTGTGAGACCAAAGGTCTTGAGTTCGAGTCCCGCTTATCGGATCGTGGATGTACGCTGTTGAGGAGTTCCATAATAGAACGAAACAGCTATCCAGTGATTCTAGGTTCTCAATGATGGTCTAGCTAGGATCAGCTCATGAATCCAACTGTTAAAAGAAAATTTAGATTGCTGTACTGATATTCAACGATATATATATATATATATATATATATATATATATATATATATAACTTCAGTTAAATGATATTGAGAGACCATATTTCATTCTGTACTATAAACTATGATAAAGTGAAAAGATTCACCTATTTCTTCTGACCCTTATAACAAAAACAATCATGTACTCACTGGTGATTTACTTCAAAAAGTAATTCCAGGATTTTTATTGAAAAGTCATTACCAGTGGAGTTCAACTATATTGGATGGGAGACAGTTGTTTACCACGAGCAATAACAGATACCATAATGTTCAAAATTCAAATTGACTTTAGTATATAAGCAGAAAAAAATAATGACGACTGTACATGAACAACAAAATAATGAAAATATATAACAATGAAAAGTCAGTTGGAACTATTTATGTCAAATGAAATTTCTTCGTAAAATAATAACTATAGTTATAAAAATACAGGTTCTAGTACCCATACAAGTTGATATATATAAAAGCCAGTCTAGAAAAAAGTCACAAAAACGACATCAACAGTATACAGCTACATCAAAAGAAGGACCACTGAACAATTGTATTTCGTCCACTTTTATTTATCATCATCATCACCATCATTGGTATGATAGCTACTCATTTTCGGTCTATTGTTTAATTAATCAAACTTTATCATATTGTATTTTGATAAGTATGTATGCGTGCATACATAAATAAATACACACATACACATATACATAAATACATACATACATACTTACATTTATAGAGTTGCATGCTTAGAAATGCAAGCATTACTGGTCAATTATCATTGACAATTATTCATAAATGGATATTAAATATAATAATAATAATAATGTTTAATCGAAATCACTTTTTTCACCAAGTAACTGACTAACTAACCACTGAACTGCATTCAAGACAAATCAACTATCAAATTTTAAATAGTTACTGAATAGTTGAAAGAATATAAAAGGAATGACTACATGCTATAATTAATAATACGAATCTATTTAAAATGGAATATATATAAACCTATGCTACTCTCTACTCCTGGTTAGTCGCCAGAATAAAACATAAAATGAAAGTATACTTATTCTTTGACATAAGAAAATATATTATGGTATAATTTAATTTTCCATGTCAATAGGTACTCATTTTTTATAGCACTTCTAATATTAATATTATAACTGGTTTTACTTTATGCATTTTGTTTGGTTGTTGTGTTTTCTTTTTTACATTTAATTATTTGTGCTTTGAATGATCTACGATTTAAATAAGAAAGGGCATTGCTTCTACTGAATACACTTAGACAAATTAATGAATAAATGTAATACAATAATAGGTTTATGGAGAGTAAAACGACTATAGACACATTTATAATCTCTGTTCCTCTCTCCCTATGCAGCTCTCTATCTACCTCATTCTGATTCCTTCTGTCATTTCTATCTATTTTAATCATTTTTGCATGAATGGTTGATCTGTATGGACCATTGTGATATATTCGTCAACCTTTCAAATTATGACAATCATTAAGAAGGGCCAAATGTAAACGAAAAAGATGCAGTTGAAAATGAAGAAGTGGTGGACACGAAATATAAACGAGAGAAAGATAGCATGGAAACAGTTTTCTTTCTCATCTCATTCATAACCCTATTACCCTCCCCCCCCCCAAAAAAAAGATGAAAAAAGCCAAATAACATAAGGCAGGTGAACTTATTCATTGAACAATAGAAAATCGAAATGTCAATGTTTAAAATCGACGTTAAATCATTTACGAATAAATAGAATTGAATAAAAAACATGCATCCCTTTAATTTATATTGGTATTTTAATAATAATAATAATAATACTAAAAGTTCTACCTTTATTAATGAACAATTAGCAAATAAATGTGCGTATTAAATAAGAGTAGTTACTAGACGGATAGTGGCTAGCAGTGGAATCCAGGACGCGCGTTTCGTCCTATTTGGGAATCGCCAGCTAGATGTACCTGCATCTCAGAGTTGATGTTCACTCTGGGACTCGAACCCAGTACCCTCGCTTCAAACGCCATCGCGTTATCCACTCGGCCACTGAGTCCTGATAGCCACTTGCTAGTGCGATGGGGTGAAGTTTGAATTCACTTAGTATTGTTTGTTTGAATCTTCCCATCGATGTGTTAGGACTGCAACTGGTCAGTCTCCATCTCTGCTTACCATGCTTGTGAATTAAAGTATATCGAGGCAATACGCACTGTATGCACATATGCCAATTAGAGACTGACCAGTTGCAGTCCTAACACATCGATGGGAAGATTCAAACAAACAATACTAAGTGAATTTAAGAGTGGTTACTGTTGAATGATTCAAAATTAGAGCAAAACGCTACTTATCCCGACACTTTTCAATTTGCAAGATTTCTTCAATTGACATCCGTTTATAATGGAACAACTGTCCTCGAATATATATATATATATATATATATATATTCGAGGACAGTTGTTCCATTATAAACGGATGTCAATTGAAGAAATCTTGCAAATTGAAAAGTGTCGGGATAAGTAGTGTTTTGCTCTAATTTTGAATCATTCAACAGTAACCACTCTTAAATTCACTTAGTATTGTTTGTTTGAATCTTCCCATCGATGTGTTAGGACTGCAACTGGTCAGTCTCTAATTGGCATATGTGCATACAGTGCGTATTGCCTCGATATACATATATATATATATATATATATATATATATACGTTTATA